CTTCTGTAGGAGACGTTTTACGCACCCAGCAGTGCATTCCCGTCTTCTCAACCAAGCTGTGTGCTCTAGGTGTTCCCCGTAAGAGGGCTGCGTGGGCCCTCCTGCTACGGCAGGGGGGACTGTGTGCGTGGTCTGGTGTGCGTGACCGGCGCCTCACCCACCAGGTGACCAGGCTCTGCCTCAGGCAGGTGCTGCTGTCGAGCAGGGTCTGCTCACGGGGAGGCCGGCTGCTGAGCCCTAGGCCCAGGGTTAGTGTTGGCTCACTTGTAGTCAGAGTCAGGGCCCCAAAGACTTCGGGGCTGTTGCCCACCCACTGATAGGTGAAGCCAAGTGTTAGTGCTAGACTGTTGGCAGGCAGGGCCAGTTCCTGTGGCTGGGCTGTGTGGCCCAGGGGTCCCAGGGCTCATTTAAGGTTGTTGTGGGCTTGGGGATGGTTCCTGTCTGGGCATGGGATCCTGTTGCATAGGGAGCACCGGGTGTCCCAAAGCTAGTGTTGGCCTGCTGGTGGGTACACCTGGGGCACAGCTGGTCCTGGGATAAGGTCTGGCACGCTTTTGGCATCCTAGGTCTGCAGGATGCAGGATCCAAGTTTTGAGTCTGGTGTCCGCCCCCTGGTGGGTGCGGCAGGCTTTCTGGAGGGAAGGGCTGGTGCCTGCCCACAGGTAGGTGGAGCCGGGTCCTGACCCTCCGGTGGGTTGGGCTGTGTCTAGGCTTGTGTCAGGAGGTGGCTGTGGGCTTGGGAAGCCATTAGGAGTGTGTTTGCTGGTGGATGGGGCAGTTATGTGGCCCGAGGAGTCCTGGCCCTGGCACCTGTAGGTCATTGAGTGGGGCCAGGTCCTGGTGCTAATGAGCCAAGTGTCAGCCACCAGCAGCAGAACGTTCCCAAATATGCTGTCACCAGTGTCTGTGTCCCCAGGGTGAGCTACAGCAGCCCCCCACCTTTCCAGGAGACTCCCTAAGGCCCGCAGGTAGGTTAGACCCAGGCTCCTATTGAATTGTTGCTTTTGCTCTGGGTCCCAGTTGCTCATGAGATGTTTGTGTGAGCCCTGGTAAGAGTGAAGTCTCTATTTCCCCCAGTCCTGTGGGGCTTCGAAATTAAGCCCCGCTGGTCTTCAACGCCAAATGCTCTGGGGTGGGGGTCATCTTCCTAGTGCAGGATTCTGGCGCTGGGGAGCCCAACACGACGCTCAGAACTCTCGCTCCTGTGGGAGAACCTCTGCGGCGTGACTGTCCTCCAGTTTGTGGGGCGCCCACCCGGCGTGGGGGTTGGGATTTGATTATATCACAAGTCTGCCCCTCCTCCCCATCTCATTGTGGCTTCTTTAGGTCTTAGTTGTAGAAGATCTTTTCTGCTAGACTTCAGTCTTTTTCACTGATGGTGGTTCTGCAGACAGCTGTGATTTTGGTGTGCTGGTAAGAAGAGGGGAGCGCAGGGTCTTTATACTCTACTATCTTGGCCGCTTCATATTTTTTTTTAACTTGAAGTATAGTTGATTTACAATATTATTATTAGTCCCAGGTGTGTAACATAGAGATTCAATGTTTTTATATTCCATTTAAAGTTATTACAAAATAATGGCCAGATTTCCCTGTGCTATACAAGATACATTGCTTACTTATTTTATACATAAAATACACAGTTTGTATCTCTTTATCCCATATCCCACTCTTGCCACTCTCCCCTGCCGTCCCCCCACTGGTAACCACTAGTTTGTTCTCCGTATCTGTGAGTCTGTTTTAGTTTTGTTATATATATTTGTTTGTTGTATTTTTTAGATTCCCCATAGAAGTGATATATAGTATTTGTCTCTGTCAGATTTATTTCACTAGACATAATACCCTGTACGTTCTTCCATATTGCTGTGAATTGCAAAATGATGGCTGAGTAATATTCCATTGCATATACACACCACATCTTCTTTGTCCAGTCATCTGCTGATAGGCACTTAGGTTGTTTGTGTATCTTGGCTATTGTAAATAATGCTGCTTTGAACATTGGGGTGCCTTATTTTTCCAAATTAGTGTTGTTATTTTCTTCAGATATATATGCCCAGAAGTGGAATTGCTAGATCATATGGTAGTTCTATTTTTAGTTTTTGAAGGAAACTCCATGTTGCACTAGTTCACATTAATACCAACAATGTATCCAGGGTCCCTTTTCTCCACATCCTCGCCAACGTTTGTTTTAGTGGTCTTTTTGATGATATCCACTCTGACAGGTGTGAGGTGGTATCTCATTATGGTTTTGATTTGCATTTCTCTGATGATTAGCAATGTTGAACATTTTTTCATGTGCCTGTTGACTGTCTGTACATCTTTGGGGAAATGTCTATTTAAGTCTTCCCTCCTTTTCTTAATTAAGTTTGTTTGATATTGATTTGTATGAGCTGTTTATATATTTGGGGTATCAATCTCTTTTTGGTCACATCATTTGCAAATATTTTCTCCCATTCAGTAGGTTTTCTTTTCATTTTGTTGATAGTTTCCTTTTCTGTGCCAGAGCTTTTAAATTTAATTAGGTCCCACTTGTTTATTTTTGCTTTTTCCTTTGCCTTAGGAGTCAAATACAAAAAAAAGTTGCTGTGATTTATATTAAAGAGTGTTCTGCCTGTGTTTTTTTTCCTAGGGGTTTTATGGTTTCAGAGGCCCTGAGGATATGATTTTGAATACAGCAGACACAATCCCTGTCTAGTGGAACAAAGAAATACCAATTACATTATCAAAAGTAGATACATAATTACAAGTTATGATAAGCGCTATAAAGGAGAAGACTACGATGGAGGAACTAATAATAGGGGTCCAGTTTAGCTGGAGACAGAAGGGTGGTAGGTTTTCAGGGAAAGGTTCTCTGAGAAAGTGGTGATTAAGTGAAGACTTGAGGGCCAAGTAGGCGTTGCCCAGACAAGGAGTAGTGGGATCTCCAGCTGGAAGTGGCAGTGTGTGGGGCAGGAAAAACCTCGGTCACTTAAAGAAAGGAGACGTGCCCAGGGTGGTGTGCAGCGTTCTGAGCTAAGGAAGAAAGGAGCGTAGGAAAAGGTTAGAGGCAGGATTCTTTTCAGACAGTACCTGGTAGGACATAGTGAGAAATTAAGATTTCCTAAGTGCAAATTGGAAAACTTTTAAGTAATAAAGTGGTGGAATTTAAAGTGAATTTAGAATAAGAAAATAAAATGATGAATCTGTCTTGAAGAGTATTTCCCTGTAGGGCAGCATGATTATACTGACTTGGGTTTAGGAAGCATTCCAAGAGTAAAATTTAGCTAATAACGATAATGCTGGCAGTTTGCAATTCTCTTCAACATGGATCTGACCAGAAGCCTGGGGAGATTGTATTTTATTCTATATTTATATTTAAAAAATACAGGTAAGCTGAAATGTATTTTAAGCAGATCACCCAGGATGCTGAAACAATTAAAAATCCTTGGGGGCAACCAGATAGTTGTGGAAGGGAGTGCTCCTTCATAAATTCATTCCAGCTGAAAAATACTAATACGTGCAATCCAGGTGAGTAGTATTAAGCCAGCAGTTAAAGAACTTTGCAAAAGTAGAAATCAGTTTTGCTCTTCACACTAAAATTTTCATTTAAAAATATGTTAACATGTAATAGGTATCATGTTATTAAATGAATTAATAAGTGCTTTGAATTTTTCTTAGTTTTATTAGTAATGTGGTAAATATCAGCAGATATAATCTACATAAGCAAAAGCTCTAATTTTAAGAGTGTGAAGGAGCACTGAGACCAAAAAGTTTGAGAACCACTGCCGTACACACACTACCTGTCATTATTTGGGAGGGAAGGCAGCAGTGAGACAGGGCTGTCCATGGGAAACAGCTGTGGGTATTCCTCAGTTGGGAGGAGTGAGGCTGTTCCCGCAAGTTGACGTAATTAACCACTTAAGTCGGCAATTCCTAATGCAGATTCTATACTGATCTTAGTATGTGACATCGCTTTTATTGGTAGGCAGTAAAATGAGAAAATAAAACAATGTTTTCATAAAGCTAACAATGCAGAGAACTGTCTTTTAACCTGTGTTCATGTCTGTTATACATCTTTGATAAAAGAATGGTCTTTATAAAATGGTAGGAAAACATGTCAATTGCAAGTTTCTTCTTGTTTTAACGTCCCTTTTTGTCCCTAGTTGGTAATCCTTTGTCATTCCTCCAAATTGTTTTTGTAAAACATATTACTCTGGGCCAGGAATTAGAGTCTAAAGTCTTGAAAGTCAGTGAAGGTAGGGAGAAAAGGTAAGTACATTGTAGGCCTTGATATGAGAGCTCTGTCAAGGTCCAGGGAACCAGCACAGGTTGTCTGGTAGGCAAGGAGAAACCAGTGCAGAAAAGGAGCAAGTAAGTCGCCAAGATGGTTGGTATCTTTGGTCCCATGGCAGTGGTTCTCAGCCCTGTTACACACTCAGATTGTCTGGAACACTTTTAAGAAAACCCCAGTAACCAGGCCGCATCCTCAAAGACTCTGATTTAATTAGCCTATAGTGGGACCTGCACATGGCATCTTTTTTAAAACATCTCATCAGATGACCCTAAAGTGCAGCTGGGGCTGAGAACCGCTGTCCTGGGGCCATTGTTTAATCGGGTTGCCTCTGCTTCTGTATTCATGATGCGCGGGGTCGGTAGGGGCTGGCAGAGGCCCCCTGGTGCCAGGATGAGGGCCAGCCTCCTGGGAAGATTGTTTTCCTCAACTGCGTAGTCGTATCAGTATAGTTACTTAACAAGACTTTGTATCAAAAGTAAGTAAATACTTCTTTGTAAATATAACTCTGTCCTGTCAAACTGAGCCAATAGTTAACTCTTGAGACTTGACACAAAGAAATTTTTACTTGTAAGAACAGCTGAAATCATCTTTTTCCTCTCTAATCTCTTCTGATTTCTAATAATTTCAGAGGAAAAACCTCCGTTTTTAAGTACACAGAGGAGTGATAAAGTATAAACTCTTAACTGGCAAAAAGATTTTACCTCATCTTCTCTGTAGGAGTTTCTGAGTTCTTCCTTGGGCCCTGAGCCCTGGTAGTCAGCTGGTCCTGTTGTGGCCATCAGTGTTGTACAGTGTAATGAGTAGCTTGTTTCCTTTTTGGAAAGTGTTGGATCAAAAAAATATATACATATAACTTAAGTAGCAAATGATGTTGTTAGTGTTGTATTTGAAAACAAAAATGCCTATGCTAAACCTTATAGTAGAATAACTTACTTATTTTTTAAGCTTTTTTCTATTGAGTTATAGTCATTTTACAATTGTGTCAAATTCCAGTGTAGAGCACAATTTTTCAGTTATACATGAACATACATACGTTCATTGTCACATTCTCTTTCGCTGTGAGCCACCATAAGATCCTGTATATATTTCCCTGTGCTACACAGTATAATCTTGTTTATCTGTTCTACATTTTGAAATCCCAGTCCCTTCCCATCCCCCTAGAATAACTTTTAAATTAAAAAAATTTTTTTTTTAATTTTAGGAAAGCAGAACTAGAAGCAGCTGTCAGAAAGAAGATTGAGTTTGAGAGAAAAGCTCTGCACATTGTTGAACAGCTGTTAGAGGAGAATATTACAGAAGAATTCCTAAGGGAGTGTGTATGTGATGATATATTACTGCTTTTGTAGTGTAAGATCTTTAACCTGTGTAGCATGAAACTTCCTTGCACTGCTGAAAGTCTTTGAGTCTGTGTTAGTCACTAGATGCAGGTAACATGCTGTATAATTCGTGCATTTAAACATGATTAACTGCTGTGCAGTCATTGTTTCATAATGCCCTCATGGCACACTGATGAAAGACAACATACGTGTTGTACCCCTTAGCAGCCAGTCGTCCTTTTAACCGGTCTGCTAAGCTCACTTGAGTATCATCGCTTAGCCCTGCTGATCCCCACGTCACTTTTCATATTCTGGATGTTACTCTATTTTAGGAATAGAAGATCGTTAGTTTTGTTAATGTAATTTCATTAATTATGATATTTTAAAAACCTGAAATATAGACCATTTATGGTTTAACACGTAAGAAGAGAAGTATTAATTTTTTTGTTTTCTTTAGTGGCTTTATTGCATTAAAAATTAGAATGGAAATAGATTTCCTTAAAAGAAAAAAAAACAAATTTAAAACTTGTTTTTTTTGCAGAAGTAATTCTTACTGTGCCTCAGAGATTTTCCTAAACAAGAGGAAAAGTATGACAACATTTAAGCTGATGCAGGTAACTGCATCAGAATCTATACACTTGGAGACTAAAGATAAACCAAGAAAGCTTCATTTGGAACAAATACCTTATGTCACACTCAATAAGAAGTATTTCAGTCTCTGCAAAAACGAAAAACTTCTTTTAAAAAATCTCAAGAACTGAGATTATTTGAACATAAAAATATCAAAGAAAAAGATTTGGTGTTAGTATAGCTATCACCTTACTGTTTTGTGCAGTGTTTTCAGAAGATGGAAGATTTTGCACAAAAATTTGTGTCAGGAGTCGTAATGACACCTGATGTACTTTGTTTTTAAGATCGTACTTTAAAAAATAGGTAAAATTATATATTATTTTATTTGGTTTATTTTGTGAGTAAGACCTTTTAAAAAATAAAATATACTATAAATATTTTGCTTTGGTGTAGCAGTCACCATAGCATCACTTCCTCTTGCTTCAGAGTTATTTCATGAATTGTATAATCTACGAAGACGCGTAGTCTTCTGTGGCAGGCGTTCTCTACTTTTTTTTTAATAGCTAACATTTTTGGAGTACCTACTATGTGTTCACGAGCACTTTTCGAAATGCTTTTTCTTTATTCTCTCCTCTGCTTCCAGCATCACACCTATGAGATAGGCACTGTTACGATCCCTGTGTTTTTAGATGAGATCGTTGAGGCTTAGAGAGCTGATAAATAAACTTTCCCAATAAACTGGAGAGAAAGTGTCCATCTCACTTCATTGCAGGGGAAGCACATCACGCCTGCTCACTACAGCGATGTTGTGGCCGAGCGTTCTATCATCAAACTCTGCGGCTACCCCTTGTGTTGGAAGAAGCTAGAAAATGTAAGTAACTTTTCTTAAATGTAGCCTTTTAATTTTTATATTTAGCAAAATACTGTGTAGAGGGAACAATAAGTGAAACTGACGTCATGAACTAATGACATTGGCTAGCCGAAGATACGATACGTAGATGACTTAATCTTGTTGACTATAAAGTTCATGCTTATTACATTACTTGGATTCTTTTGTAAGCTGTCCTTTCTTTTCTTTAGGTACCAAAACAGAAATATAAAATTTCTACCAAAACCAATAAAGTCTATGATATTACTGAAAGAAAGGTGAGTTTAAAGGCTTATTTTCAATGTGGCAATTAATTTTCAATACCATACTGAATGGAATTCTAAAAATATCTGTTTAAAATCTTGCCTTTTAGAAAATAGATGTGTTAGAAGTTTTTCATCTATAAATATTTTACTCAAATTGTTAAAAAAAAAAACTCTTTGCTTACACTTTAGTGACTACATGAATATATAAAAATTAAAAGTGCACGTTGGCACAATTTCAGGCCAGTGAGTCAGAAAACAATAGAGAGGCAGAAACACTCACCACTTATGTGGATACTGGATATATGACAACAGAAGTATTTTAGATCTGTGGAGAAAGGATCGATTTTTTAATAAATCGTACTGGCACAATTACTTATCCATATGGAAAGAAATGAAGATTGACGCCTATCTCAGTGTACATACAAAGATCAATTTCACATAAATTAGGGACCTAAATGTAAAAGGCAAACTTTTCCAAAGACAGTATGGGAAAGTATCTTTATAAATTTGGACTAGAGAGAATTTCTTAAATGAGATAGAGTTATAGTTCATAGATGAAAAATTGAATAACTTTTCTACATTAAAATTGAAAACGTTGCTCATTAGAAGTTTCCATAAAGAGTAAAAAGATAAGCTACAAATCAGAAGGAATTACATTTCTCACATAAAACTGACCACAGATTCGTAACCAGAATACACCATCTATAAGAAAAAGACAAAAAACTTAATTAAAAAATGTACAGAAGAAGTTAAATGGCTAAATGAATATATGAAGAGATGCTCAGCCTTACCAGTCATCAGGAAAACAGCAAATAAAAACACACTGAGTTACATTTTTATGGCCCCAAATTAGCAGAATTATAAAAATTTGATGCTATTAGTAAGTCTTTATGCTGCTGGTCAAATAAAAATTGGTAAAACCTTTTTGAGAAACTGGTGAAGTCAAATTGGCATATTCTTTGTGACCATTCTTTCTGTTCTTTGGTATATATGGTGTGTATTTCCCCACGTGCACACGTTTATACGCATATGAATGCTCCTAGTAAGATAAAATATAGTACATATTTAGAATGGAATACTGTTTAGCCTTGAAAAGGAAGGGAATTCTGACACATGCTACAACTGGATGAACTTTGAAGACGTTATGCTAAGTGAGATAAGCCAGCACAAAAGGAAAGATGTTATATGGTTTACTTACATGTGGCAACTGGAGTAGTCAAACTTACAGACAGAAAGTCAAGTCGTGCTTGTCAGAGTAGGTGGAATTGGAGGGTTATTATTTAATGGGTGCAGGGTTTCAGTTTTGCAAGATGGATAAAGTTCTGGAGATGGATGGTGGCGATGGTTGCACAAATGTAAGAAAGTATTTCATGCCACTAAACTGTACACTTAAAATGCTTAAGATGGTAAATTTTGTGTATTATACCACATTTTTTAATTTAAAAAATTGTAGTAAAAGAAGGTTCACAGTCACACTGTATTGATAACAAAAAATTAGAAACAACTAAGTTGTCCCTAAACAGTAACTGAAGGGTAGTGTACTTGGGTAATGGATATAATGCACAGTGCAAGTGAATAAACTATAGCTCCCCAAATTAATCTCAAACACATAATGTAAAACGGAAGAATACAAGAATGCATAACAATATGATTCCACTTAGAGTTTGAAAGTAGGCAGAACTGATTTATGTATTTCATAGGATACGGATGTAGGTAGCAAAACTAAAAGAAAGCAAGACAATAAGTAACACAGGATGTGTGATAGTGGTTACCACTAGGAAGTGTGGGGGGTGGTGCCAGTCGGGGAGGGCACGTAGATGCCTGCAGAGGTTCTGTATACCTTCTTACCTTGGGTGGTAGGGTCATGGGTTGCCGCTTTTTTTCTTTGAACTGCATATTTAGGTTTTATATTCTTTCTGTACGTAAGTTGTATTTCACAAGAAGAAAAAATAATTTGCTACTTTTAAAATGTTCTTTTCAGTGTTTCTGCAGCAATTTTTGTTACAGAGCTTCTAAGTTTTTTGAAGCACAAATTCCTAAAACTCCAGTATGGGTTCGAGAAGAAGAAAGGTAATTTAAATAATTATGTATACATTTGTTCATATAGTCTAATAATTTCTACTTTTTGAGATATGCAAACAGTAAGTCTAGTTTTCTTTGGAATGCATTTATTGTATACATTTTAATTGTGGGGAAATGGTTGTATTTCAAGCATAGCTATTAAGGACTTTATACTTAAAATCAGAAAATTAATACATGCAAGTGTTATTTGTTTACTGTTTTAGCTTTAAACACAAAATCTGAACTTTGCTTCCTGCTATAGAAGTTATTTCTATTAATCCTATTAATAAAATAATCCTGGGGTAAGAATGTTAAATATTTTCAGAAGATACTGCATCTTGGGATCCAACTGAACTGACTTTGTTGTTAGGAAATGATACACCTACGTCAGAAAGTTCAGGTTACTAATTCATTTAACCTTTATTAAAAATCAGTGCAATATTTTATGAATTTAAAGAAAATCAGTTTAAAGAGTCCTATTTAGCAGAAAATTTATGGACATTCCTGGGATTTTGCCGCTTGAGAAATGCTCAAACACTTACATTTTAGTAGTTGCTGAATTTGAAAGCGAATTCATTACTGAGGGGAAGATGGCGTAAGGATATTTAAAAGGTAACAAAAATTACTGTTATGTAATTAAACTTTATCGTCTAGAAATTCCAAATATTACTGAGAAAATGTCTCAAGTAATTCATTTGATAGAGAATATTACAACAGAAGACAGTGTTGTTTGTGTTAAAGTCGTTAGAATCTGTGCTAAGTAAGCGAAATCTCACCTGATGCACAGGGTCATGGGGTGCTCCTGGGTGTTCAGCCGGCTCAGCTGTGCCTCCTGATCCCGGCCCGTGTGGTTTAGAATGTGTAGAACATGCTGCAGTGTGGCCTTTGTTAATTGAATTAAACATAATGAAGACTAAATGATTCATCATTTCTCCTCCGGTCTCGCTATCTTTCTTGTTTGGACAATAAAAGGTTGTAACATTGTCCAAAGTGATTGGGAAGCTAAGAGCACCTTTTTAATAATCACTATTTCTCCTCAGTATTTCTTTCCCCAGAGCTGCCCATTGCCTTCTCCACCCTGCAGCAACATATTCCATTTCTCAGTGTTAGGACCACTGTTCCCTTGCGTTGTTCTTAATGTTGCTTCCAGAGATCTCTTCTCTTCTTCTTGAACTCAGCTCTCTCATTTAGCCCATCCTCATCTGCTTCAGCTGCTTCAGAACCATTTACCAAACCAACTTTCCTGCTACCTCTGTTTTCTTCCAATATAGTTATTGGTACGTTCTGCAGCTAATTTAAAAAGGTTCTTCCCTCCAGCCTTTTCCCAAAACCTTACCGTCCTATGTCCAGAATGCCCACTTCTCCCCAAAATATGAATCTCTGTCACTTTATATGTGTTGGTTCTTGAAATTCTGCCTTGTCTATATGGCCTTCCCTACCTCACTAAAAAGGAAAGGTGAAAATGGCTTTGGTTTCCCTAAACTAATCAATTTAATTTCCATTTGAAGTGCATAGTGTGCTCTTACTACCTGGCAGACCATACGTATGTTTGTGTGTGCACACACATGTATAAAACCCAGCCTGTGAGTTTAAATTTAAATCTCTTTGGAATGGCAAAACAAATACAAGTGAAACAAATTTGTACTTGTTGTAATGGGGCCTGCAATGTAAGTTAGTAAGGGTAAAACATTACATAGTGAAAAACTAAGTAGAGGTGAGACACTAAACTCATAGGAGTAGGCTGGCTATTGGAAGTGGCTAGAACATTATTAGCTCACTTGAAATAAGGGATGTGTTTTGGGAAAAAATAGAAAATAATGGTAGGTACCAAGGGGCCAGGCTGAGTTTGGTGGATCCTCAAGCACTGGGGAGCCGTCTAGTGTTTTAGAACAGAATTTAGTCAGGCACTGAGGTACAGGATGAATTAAAGAAAGGATCCTAATACAAGCGCTAAAAGGGTCCTTAAAGATAATTTAATCCAACCTCGTTCTCAAACAAGGTCAGAAAGATGAAGTGTATGTCTTAAGCTAGTGATGGATTCTAAACAAGGCTGGGAGTCTTTGATCGCACTCCTCTTGATTGGAAGTAACCAGTGAGTAATCTATAAATACGCAGTTATCACATTGTACATAACATAACCATAGCCCTTATTTGTGTGTAATACTTGTCCACGTGTAACCATGTCGGTACCTTTCATCTGTGGATGTGTCAGTGTTAACCTTGATTTCTGAAATCTTACGTCAGTTTATTTAATGAATCCACTAGAGGTCACTGTTTTTTCACAGAGAATGTTTGGTATTTTTATGTGTGCTAATAATTACAATTCTAGAATTTAGTGTACTTTCAAAAAGCTTGTCTATCTGTTTTACATATAAGCTTTACAGAAATGTGGTATTTTAAAGAAAATCTGTTCACGGATAGTGTGCTGTGTAACATTGAGATCCTATCTTCTTTTAAAGAGGAAAGTGGCTTCTTTTAAATGTCAGCATTTACTGTTTAATGCAGATTTTTTATTAGCTTAGAATGAGTTGTACTAATAAATAATAAGCTACATCATCATCATAATTTTTAATCAATTATTAATATTTATTATTATTTTAAAACAGTACATTTTAAAATCCACTCAAAAAATTAGGTATTTTATTGCAGTGACTTTCAAAACATTTTTATTGTAATGTTGATGTGTAATATGCTAGTTTCAGGTGACTACGTTTGCATTTGCATACATTATGGAATGATTATCGTGCTAGGTCTAGTAACCATCTGTTCCCATGCAGTTATTACATTACTGACCATCTTCCTTATGCTGTATATGACATCTCTGTGGCTTATTTATTTTACATCTGGAGGTTTGTACCTCTTAATCCCCTTCACCTTTCTCACCCCCACATACACCCCTCCCCTCTGGCAACCACTTGTTTGTTCTCTGTATGTATGAATGCTTTCTAAAATGTTTTAACACTATAATAAATGTGTTTTACATTATCCAACACACAAAGAAGTGAAGTGAAAATCTTGAAACAAGTTTTATCCTCACTACATGTAAAGCCTCTGATATCTTCTACTATGTTGTGTTTTAAAATGCTGGCAGTAACACTCCTAAATGGTAGCTCCTGATCTGCAGTTTTCAGAGCACTGTTCTGTTGGCTCTAGCTCAGAGCTTTAGCTGTTTTGCTACAGGAAAGTCCACAGAGTTAGCAGTGCTGGCTCTCATTTTCCTCGTTTGTGAGGCAGAGAGCTGCATTTAACCTCTTGGTTCCCTTTAGTTCTGTCTTACAGTTCTAAGCGGTGAGTCACTGCTGCTATAGTGAAAGTTTTCTAAATAAGGAAATGTCTTATTTATAAACATGATGAAAATTGAACTTACCAGCATAACCTAGGGAGATTTACACTGCCTTCTAAGGAAGTCTGTCTCGTTTAAGAATTTAGAATTCAAGTTACTGACAAATAATTTGAGCTCTTCAGTCTGTGAAAGATAAAAGATTGAATCAAAGTTTTAAAATTATATAGGAAAACCATGGCTGTTTGTATTTTATGTTACACCTAGAACAACTTGAAGTTTACACCTTCAGGGACAGACACCATGATCTTAGATACCATTTGGAAGTAGAACATTAAATTTGACTCAGTTTGGCCTTTCTTACATTATTGTGAAAGCTAATATAAATTTATACACCAGATTATAAAATACTAAAACCTATAGTGTCCCTTAAAATTTTTGAAATATTATTTTATACAATAATAAGCTTCTACCTCATTGGTGAAAATGTATAAATCAATTTAAGAAAGATTTAGACAAATTCATGAATTTTATTCCTTCTGTTGAAGCTTTGGAGTCAGAAAGGCTCTTAGAGGTTTAAAATTATCTGGAGTGTATCTTTAACATCATGTACAGCCAAAGTGCTGCTCACGCAGTGTCTCCTGATGCCCTGTGAGAGTCAGAACATCGACCTGGACGGCCTGGGGCGTGACGCACTATGATGCTTCTGATACTGTTAGTTAGAGACTTTTCACCCACTTGGTGGCCAGAAACAGGCCACACGCTGCTGTGTTCCTCTGAGACAGCGTGCTCACTTAGGCAGTCATATAGTTAGACTTATAAATCCTGTGTGGTTGACTGTAGGCTCTGACAAGTCTTTGAAAGAGGGAAGTTTCTTGAACTGTAACCTAAAAAAATCAGGAGTTAAAACAAAGAAGGAAGGACAAATGTTGAGAATCAAATTATGATTTAAAAATGAAATCGGGGGTGAATGGTTAATGCTGACGAGGCTGAAAGCGCCATCATGTGGCCCAGAGTAGGGGATTTTCACACATGCTTCTTGGCAATAAACACAGTGTAATCTCAGAGGTGCGGAAGCCAAAAACCTCTGCAGAACAACTTCTATAACCTCTTCCTGAACAGTCACCTCTGTTGCTTGGTAGACAGAATAAAAACTTTCTGAAACAGGTTTTAACATGTCTCAAATTATATTTTAAAAATTCCCACCACAGTGGAGATCATATCTTGCTACTTCTGTTGGTTGATATATAATAAACATATTCTAAATGATACACAACACACACGTACACATACACACACACAAGGTCTTTTGGCATGTTATTTCTAGTTTTAGATGTACTTTGCTAAAGTTGCAGTTAATCATCTAGTTTATGCTTTAGTGAGAGTAATGTGGAAATGTTTATGAAGAGCTGCTCTGAGATATTTAACATGGTTACTTTTTATTTTTTGAATTGAGCTTGTATCAGTGAGGTTGAGAATTACCTCCAGGACAACATAAACTTTGAGGGGAATGGAAAAAACTGAAAGCAAAGAGAAATGGTACCTTTGACAAGGAAAAAGCTTTTGAATATCATCTAAAAAAGGATAGAGAAGGAAGAGCGATGTAACTTAGTGCCTTGTTTCTAAAACAGCTCCTAGCAAAAGCAAACTGAAGTTTTATATTGAACCTTTCGTTTAATACCTCGTTAAATCCAAATTTAGTTTATTTTAGTGTCGGGTGTCAGCCTCC